AATCTGCAAGAGCAGATTATAAACGGACTACTCTGGGCAAAGAGTGTGAAGGGGAAATGGTCAATTTGGAGAAATGCCCCTCTTATAATGAAGAAAAAACATTATCTCTTTCTTGCAGAATCTAAATGAACCGCTAAGTAAGCTCTGGCTGCCTTGCCCAGAGGGATACTGGATGTGTCTGTACATTGAAAGAAGAAAAGAACAGAAGAGTTGCTTTTAGTGCCTGAGTTTCACCTCGTTCCTTCATCCTAACTTCTCAGGAACCATGGAAACAAATATACCAGGCCTAGATGGTGTTTTCCTGATAGGTCTTTTTTACCTAACTGTGTGCTACCTGGAATCCCATGGGGAGAGTGAAATACAACATGGAAAAGAAAAGAGGCGTGTGTGCATGCAAAATGCCTCCTCTCTGGAGGACAGAATGGGGCTGGCATGTAATATTTCAAGAGCTGAGGCAATGTACAATGTGGTACCACACCACCCCTTCTCAGTGACATGTTCACATGCATCCTGTGCTACCCACACACAAAAACCATCACACCGTCCAGAAGGTGTCTCTTGATTATCAGCATTCTTTGCTAATAGGTTTCCTAGTCACCCAACTGCTTGAAGATTTCATTTTTAAAGATCCCTAGTGCATAGGAAGTTGGTCAATAAAGGCTCAGAATCCAGGAAAGAGCCCAGCATTGGTTATAGAGTTGTAAATACATGAACCGAAAGAACTCCAATAATGCCTGGCATGTTTCCTAAGTCAACCAATCACTGATGAGATATAATACCAAAGTATAGAAGAAGAAAACCAGGAATGTTCTTCCAGGATAGCAAAGTTGAGATGGCAGTGAGAGGAAAAAAGAATAAAAGCATCCAGAACCACAAAAAGGCTATGAATATAGCAGTGACAGAGTCTTATCAGCTATATGGCAGCTGGGAAACTTGGGGACATTTTCAGTGGTTTAAGATGGTTAAATTCTGCGTGTTGTAGAGAGGCAAAAACAGAAAGGAAAGGCTGTTTCTTTCCATTCTGCTATTTTTTCAAAAAGGAAAGAAAACCATAACAAAATGGGAAAAAAAAGACAAACACCAACAAGAACCAAAACATGTACAGTGGCTAGGATTGTAAGAAACCCTGAACTGAACATTGAAAAGACAACGTGTGAGTGAACTGGTTCCCATCTATCTGTTCTCTTCCATTCAGGCTGCTTCGGTGAGGTGCCAGGACTCCCACGGGGTCTTCTTGCCTCCCATCTCCTCCACCTCTTTCTTCTAGTCCTCCTTGGTTTCCTGGTTACTATCCCAAAATAGGATCTAATGATGCGGTGTCCCAACTCGGGATCCTTCAAACTCTCTGATAACTTGCCCACCTGTCATCACTGCTTCCCCCTGCTCCACCACTGATGCCCATGGGCTCCCCTTTCTCATCCTCTGTTTAAGCCTGCTTTCTACCTTCTCACCTTGAAGACTGGGTCTTGATGTTCCCACCACTATTTCCATCACTATCCTCAAAAACTTGCTTATCTTTCAAATCCAAGCTCTGAAAGTCTTGTGAGGTTCCCAGAAGAATCTGGACACTTCCATGGGATGTGTGTGTGTGTGGGGGGGGTGTCTTCACTACTCTGTATAATATTAAAACAAGTAACTGCACTTAGAGCACTGAGATCATTTCTCCTTCCCTTATATTGTAAGCCCCTCTTTAATTTTTGCAAACTGTCTACAGTAGTATTTTTCCTAGACTAAATGCGAGCCAATACATTACACTTACTTTTAATTTCACCCATCAACTTAAACACATACACTCATGCGCACACACAATACAAAAGGGCGTGTGGTAGATTTTTAATTCCTTATATAATTCAGAGGTAAAAATTAGGAAATGAGCACATCTAGTCTTGAGAGGACAATAAATAGCTCTAATAGACTCTGAACAAAGAACTGATTGATTGAATCATACCGACCAATTATGTCAAATTAGGCTCTGTAAATAATCAGTAGTTTAAAAATTATGAGGAAAAATTATGGGTGAATTCAGCAAACAGCTCCTAAGCTAAGACTTTTAGGTCTTTGGCTATTTTTACAAAGATAAATTATCGTACAATTATCCAGTTAATGCAACCAGATGAAGCTGCCAGTGAAGAGAGAGCCGAGGAAGCAGACTGAAGTGTTCTGAGGCTCCCAACTCCCCCTGGGCTTTGAGGTCAGACACACAACCTCACTTTACTGCCTCTGTGTCCACAGACACAAAGCTGGCAAATAATCGGGCTCTGCTGGGTTCCAGGGCTGTGGCTCAGTCCCTTCTGTGACTACACACCTGCTAAGTATTATCATGAATCCAAAAACTACAGGCTGCCTATTGCAAGAACGTGAGGCTGCTACCCACATCTGTATTCATGTCCCGGGCCATCCCAAGGTGAAGTTGTTACAACTGTAGATCTAATTCCATAGACAGGAGATGCCCGAGAGAAGCTCTCCCTGACAGTAAGATACAGGCTAAATAGGCCCATAATCATCTATCTATCTTTTCTAAACTTTCTTGCTAGGACTCAAGTGGAAAATCTATTCACTCTTCATAAATTCTGACCTTCTAGCTTCTCTCTCTTTCTCTCTCTCTGGAAGTTGTTACAACTGTAGATCTAATTCCATAGACAGGAGATGCCCGAGAGAAGCTCTCCCTGACAGTAAGATACAGGCTAAATAGGCCCATAATCATCTATCTATCTTTTCTAAACTTTCTTGCTAGGACTCAAGTGGAAAATCTATTCACTCTTCATAAATTCTGACCTTCTAGCTTCTCTCTCTTTCTCTCTCTCTGTCTCTCTCTCTCTCTCTCTCTCTGTCTCTCTCTCTCTCTCTCTCTCTCTCACACACACACACACACACACACCCCCTTTTCATACCAAATACT